ACATCTGCAGTCCTACACACTCCACATGCAACTATTTAAGTGCTATTTATAACAACCCTTTTCTGCGTTTTAATAACGGGGCGAGGGAGGAAAAGCTGCGACTGCGAATTTCTAAACAGGCGCGGCACCGGGGGACGTAAGGAAGGCGGGCTCTTTTTGCTCGAAAGAGAGAGGATTCCGGTGGCAGGCAGAGCAGCGTCACGTGGGGATCGAGGCGGGAAGCGTGCCGGTCGGCAGGTCTTTCAGTTTATTCCCTGCTCTGCGGAACGACAATGGAAAAGTTTGCAAGCCCGGGCAAAGGCAACGGCTTGCGCCTCTTGAAGGCGGTGAAATCGGGCGAGTTGCTGTATCGCGCGGCGCCCTTCGCTTACATCGTCAGCAAGAAGCGCCTCGGAGGCGTGTGCGAACATTGTCTGCGCAGGTATTGGCTGAGCCTCCTTGCTGGTCCTGAACGCGGCACTTTCCCCCTTCCGTTTCTGTTTGCTGGCAGTGGAAAAAGCAGGGAGGGTTCTGGTCCCTTTCCGAAGCTAAAGCTATTTGTGTCGCCAGATAGTTCTGAGCTATAACACTTTATATAGCACGACACAGCAAGGGTGTGTACCTTAGACAGGAACAGGATAATTCTGCATTGTGGTTTATTTTTTTGGGGGGGGGGAATCCTCATCGGTTGAGTTTCCTTTATCTTTAAATCTGGGATGTGGCCTATGGCGGGATGCGGAAGAATTTTTTGCAAGCACGAGCTCCCTGGGATGGGTGTTCTTATCTTTTTGTGGAAATATTAACCCAAATGGAGGTTCTCATTCATCCAGGCCCTGGTTGCCCCAAAGGGGCTATTCAAAAGGCATCTGGACTTGGTTTTTTTTCCTTTTCTTTGAAAACGTTTCGCTTCTCATCCCAAAAACTAATTCAATTCTGCCCCCACCATTCAGCCAGAACTGAAGAACCTTTTTGGATGAGAAGCGAAACGTTTGCAAGGAAAAAACCAAGAAAGTCTAGTTGCCTTTTGAATAGTATCTTTGGGGCTTAAGCCAAATGGTTTCCTAACGATATCTCTGGATACTGGTAATTTGTGCACAGAATCACAAAGATGCATCCTAGTAACTGCAAAATATTGATGTAGGTCCCGAGTAATTATCTCCTGGACACAAACAAGCTTATGCATCCAATAAAGCAGATATTCAATAAATGTTTTCTTCCATTACCTTTTGTAGCAAAGGTAATGAATAACTTCATATACTGCATTAAATCGTAAAATGATTTAATTTTACATTAGTGTGTTGTGTGAATCCTATGAGTCATCATGTAATGTAAGTACAATTAGACCTCAGTTAACGACTATGTTCAATAATCATTTGAAGTTAATGGTGGCACTGAATGAATGGTAGGCCCTGATTGTGTATTCAAAATTAAGGCGCTTACTTAGTCTTTCTTGGGACACTTCAAAGCTTCACAAGAAGGCCGCTCACAATTTTGACAAGGTGTGACCTTGCAAAAAAGGTAAGGCCAGCAGCTGTCTCTAAAAGGGCTAGGCTGGCTGTGCATCATCATAGAGAGGGAGAAGATGGCCAAAAGGCCAGAGATGGAAGGGGAGGCAGGTGGATGAAGAGGGGGCAGTCCCATATCCCTTACTGAAGCTCTGGACTGGGAAAGAGCAAGCTGGAAATGGCTTGGATTGGCGTGTGTCCTCACCTAACAAGTGGGTGGGATTCAATTAATGCCAGCAACCAGGACTGCTGTTGCTAAGTGATGTGGTCAGGAGAAGTTGTGCTTCGTGATTGCATTGCTTAGCAATGGAAATGTAAATACCAAGTGCCAGCATTAACTAAAGGCTACCTGTAAAGAACCTCTCGTCAGTGTTAATTTGAATGTCAAATATTTTAGCCATAATTCATTGAAAATAAAAGCAAAATAAAATTTTCCTATTGTTAGAATTATGATTCCTGGGTAGAGGAAAAATAGCTTTAGTTTACTATGTTGAGTTCTTGTTTGACACATACCAGCTAATATGTTAATTAAGCAATATAAGGCAATTTATAATATTTATAGCTTACTCCAATCTTAAGATCTTATGTCAATTTTTAAAACAAAATTTTGAAAAACCTATTAAAACTGCTAATGCAGCTTGGCGGCCCAGCTGGTGGGGGGAGAAAGTAACCGGGCCGTGCAAGTGGCAGGCCGGTGTGCATGCGTGCTAGCTCAACGCACACAAGTATGGGCCGGCGCACACGCACATGCACACGCAGCTTGACTGCATGCACACCCACCTCTCTCACGGCCTGGTTACGAATAGGCCACGGCCCATTAGTGAGCTGCAGCCTGGGGTTGGGGTTGGGGATCAGAGGTACCATTCACTTAACTAAGGACCAGGCTCTCACTGGAACACTGCTGGTTTGGCCTGCTTTTGAAAAAAAACACACCCAGATTATATATTAAGGGACAGCCTTAGCTTGGATGGGCGTATCTTCCAGAAAATGGCAGACTCAGTAGAAGGCCTTTTGCCTAATCTAAGCCTGATAAACCTCACAAAAAAGGAATTATCAACAGGTTTTCTTTAAATAACTAGACCAAATAGGCAGATTTGATTTTGGCAAGGTGTTACCTAATATCATTAGAGCTACATTGTAAGTCTTTAAAGGGGAAACCAGAACTTTGATTTTAGCCCAGAAGTTTATTGGGAACAACTTCAGTCACTTCAGAAGAGGCTATCTTCCTTGTTAAGCGTTAGCTGCTGCACTGTGTACCAGCAGTAGATTCCAAGTTACCTCCAAAGGATAATGTACAGTGTTGCAGTTTTGCAACCATGTCATGAGTTACCATTGCCAGAGAATCTTAATAATAAATCATAAGTGGCACACCACCTGAGGCTGAACAAAGGAAATAATGAAAAAATTCTCATCCCCCCCCCCTTCACTGATCACTGATTTATGCTCCTTGGAGATTTAGTTGGGTATATATGCAATACCTGAATTGCATGGGAATCTAATTCTTACAGCTGAAGGAAGGTATTGAGGTTAGAATATTAGTCATGGAAGATAACATTCTTGAGATGTAATAATTGTAAGGAATGGAGACAATGTAGAAAACATCAATTCTCAGAATAGAGAGAACTGTTACATCAGCACAGACCAGGTGTTTTCCAATGCCACCAAGAGAATAGCTAAGTATCTTCTAAGACAACAAGGTAGAGGAAAAAACCTAGAACTTAAACCCTGAAACCTGGCCTATATACACTGAAGGCTCTGACTTGTGTGTTCTGCAGTAATTATATCTTCTGTGTATACTATATGTCTTCCAGAATTTCCAATTTTTTTTTTACCACTCCTAAGTTAGCTACCTCTTTTCTCCCATGTAAAAAATGTTCCAGATTTTTGTAGTCGAGTTGGAACAATCCAGTTAGAATAGCAATTTTATTTAAATGGTAAGAAACTTGCAGGATTATATGCTTTTTTTTCTTTCAATAAATCTCCACTGGATGGCAGTAGATGAATGCTGAAAGAGAATTTTATTATTATATAATTGCTGTATAATAGACATACACTGAGATCTAGTTTTTAGCCTTTATCGTGGTCATTTGCCCTTCTGTAGTTTCCATGATCAAAATTAGTGTAAAATAAAATTGTAAGGCTATAATATGTTAGATATAAAGCTGTCTCTGGAAAAGGATTATATGTATATATGAATAACTTATACAACTGAATAATTATAATGGGATCTGATCGCCCCAATTTATTTATTTGTATTTTGGCTTTCTTCCAGGAACTGACGAAAGTAGACATAATATGTTCCATAGATAGGAATCAATGGAAAGCTTTATCTTTTGTGCCTATGATTCTAGTTTTCTGGAGTTCTTGGTGCTCTCTGAGCTTGGTGGCTTGCTTGCAGATATTTCATTACCCAGCTAGGTAACATCATCAGTGTGAATATATTGACATGCACTGATGATGTTGCCTTGTTGGGTAATGAAATGCCTCCAAGCAAACAACTAAGCTCAGAGAACACCAAGAAGTACACAGTTCCTGAGCTGTAGATATTCTTTTCTGTAGGCAGGCTAATATAGGTGAAGGGGCAGGAAGTGGAAAACAGTATGCCTTGGGGGGTTGGGGAGACCTTAGGAGGCCCAGGGCAGATGGACCTGTTCTGCACTAGGCCTCCAAGGACCTCCCCCATCTCTGACGCACCCCCTGCTCCATTTAACAACTTGTGTTTGTTTAATGGCCACATCAGGGAGAGCAGAGGGTAGGGTTCATTAAACGAACTGTCTTGCTTAATGGCCTCCACAATGTGACCATGTGGCCAAGTTTCATTATGGTTGCATCTCAAGGAGTACCTATATAGGATACTCAAGGTGGTGTACACAAGTATATGCAGTGTGGCCTCCCAAGAGAGAATGACTGGCCCAAAGGCCCTCAGTGAGTTTCCATTGCTGAAAATGGACTACAACCCGGGTTTCCCTGTTGTCACCCAGTACCTCACCAGTTATGTCACACTTGTGGGCAGCAGTTTTCTATACCAGTTGCAATTTTGCCTGTACGAGTTGCTCCATCTGATATCAGCATTCTGTAGTGATCTGAAATATAATTACGAGATCATCGGAGTTTGGTGGCTTATAAATTCAAGTAACTAAATAAACTATAGATATAGGAGGCAAGGTCTAGTTCATAACTATAATTAGCTAGCTGGTTGAAATGTTAAAAGCAATTCTGGACATTTTCACTCTCTTGAGTTCAGGAAAAAAATCCCAAATTCCCATTGCAGACTCTTCTAACATCTTTTCCATGCGTTCATCTGTGTAAACTCTGCAATGTAGATACACTGCTTCATTTCAAGGCATTTAAAATGAAAGCAACTTCCTTTCATTATCCCTTTAGTATGAAGGAGATCATTGAGTTGATACTTAAAATCTTAAGTGGTGTGTTTCAGATTTCAAAGTGTATAAATGTACTGTATTTTACCTTTGTCCTCAAAATATATAGGTATAAAAGATCAGAATTGTTATTGCAATCCTCCAAGAGGATGACAGATGCATAGGTGAAAGTGAGAAAATAATTGGACATAAAAGACAGTTCAGGAACATACAATGTAGTCCCTACCAGTCTCCTTGTCTTGTTTATTTTTTAAAATACCCTATTGACATAAATAAATAAAAGCAGAGCATCCACCCACCTCTTCTATATTTCCTTCAAGAACAGTGTCTAATAGGCTTTGTGAAACATGAAAATGTTGGGTGATAGTAATCCAGAGTTGATGTGGAAATGTATATATCTATAAAAAATAGACTGCTGATTATCAAGGATTCTCTAACAAAGTGGCAGAGATTATTTTCCAGTAAGTAGATATTTTATGCTTGATAGTGCCCAACATTTTGTGAATAGGAGGCTCCATCATAATTGTCCTCAGCTGCTTCAAAATTTCAGATAAGCC